CTTTAACGCTTTTCAGCATAGCTCCGCAAGTTCGGACGTTGCCGATGATTGCCTGTAGCTCGGGTATTTCCACGCTGGGGTATCAGCTCAAGAGCCTTCGAAGAGAGTCGTCTCTTGCCTGCTTGTTGACTACTTGTAGACGCCTTCCTAGCGATATTGTGAAGCTGTTCGTGAGCCGGTTGTATGCTTCATCTATGTTGTCCAGACGGAACCTTTACATACACTCACAAAGGAAGCAAAGTGGTCGCAGCTGATGAAGGTCTTGGGGCTCCGTTTCCTCAACTTCAGACTCTGTCCTCCATGAACTGAGGAGCAAGCGCGGAGGAGACGTTGGTCCGATCCCGCTTAGAACTTTGGAACAACAGCGACATCCGTCACGCAAAATCTCCGATTGAAGATGATGTGGTCTATTTCTCATGGAACTGTCCTCCGAATGACTTCCATGCCCACTTCAAATGAGAGTGCTTCTGGAGCCGCAAGTTACCATGGATGGTGCTGGTCGACATGATAAAGTCAGACAGCCTTTCACCCTGCTCATTAAATTCCGATGACGTTGAAGAAGGTATTTGAGGTGGAGTTGATCCACCTTTTCTTAATCTCAAACGTCCGATTCGGGTTGTTGAGCTTGCGTACGAATCGATGTTCATGGAAAAGTGCATATCGACGAGGACACCTACGTCGCCGACGTCTCTGTCGCATGTTCCACGGAACAGTTCTTCTCCAGTCTGCCTTCTCGTCTCGGTCAGTCCGATGACGTCGTACTTGATCTTCCTAGCTTGCATCATCAGGTCTTCTGTACACGCTTCCGATGCAAGCGTCCGTGCGTTGAAATTACAGATCGCCATCTTAGTCCCTCTCCTTTTGGGCAGCCTCTCCCGAGCGGACCTACCCAACGCTGCCGTATTGGGGGCTCCCTCAGGTTCAGGGGAATGAGGCCCATTTCTGTTACTGTTTTTGGCGTGTAGATACCCAACATGCAGCTTGCCAGGCTCTGACGTCGGAGCTATTGACTACGGAGGATTGCCAGGCTATCCCGAAGTGGACAAGTGGCTTTGTTTTGGAGGCGGCCCCGAATTGCCTCCCAGATACTTCCCAGTCACTAAGAAATGTTGATAAGCATAATTAGGGCTGACCTCCTTACGTTGGAATTATGTCTGATGAAAACGGAGTTTTGAAGTACCCACTCCACTCCCTCGTACTCATTCTACTCCTTCAACCTAGCCACCAAGTTTCTGCCTTATATATAAGAGGAAAGTGTAGAATAGACTTAGGTTTTCCATATCACTACCTTTATCGTAATCATAAGTTTTGCGGACAGGCAGACCGACTCACCGACAAACCGACAAACTTACAAACCGACACACCAAGTTTCTGCTTTATTAATAAGAAAGATAGTACGATAGCTCATCAGCACTCACACGTACGATGTGTTTAGCCGGTCGGTCAATATAAGTGCTTAACCTTTAGGCTGTAAGCTTTCCTTGATGTATTTGGTTTGTCTTGATATTTCGTCAGCTGCTTTTTTGCCGCATTACGCGATGCGAAAGTCTCACGAGGCGATTGAACAAAACTTCACGAACTGGATAGAGCACGGTGCCTACAATGTCCAAAAGCGATTCGATTCCCGTACGAGTTTGGAGTTTTGCCCATAAATTGCTAACCTTGTGAGACTTGTGCATCGCATACTGCGGCCAAAAAACAGCAGTTAACAAAGCATCAAGTCTGAACAAGTTACATCAAGTAAAGCTTGAAGCTCAACGGTCCAGTGCTGATATAGGCCGACCGGCTCAACCTGTCGCACGTGTTAGTGCTGATAAGCTATGGCACATAACACATCAAAAAGGCGACGGCAAATGGGACGTCCGATACTGCGGTTTCGTCCTTGAATCACCAACTTTGGGAGACTGGTGCTCCTTTCCTTACAGGCCTTCCTTTATCTCTGCATAGCTCTGCAAGGGGATGCCTCTTTTCACCTTTTATACTCTCTGCTTTCCCAGCACTATAGTGAAGTTATTCAGGAAGCAAGCTGCATTCATCGTCGACGGTGTCGAAAACGGGATCTTGCCATAAACTCAGCGTTGGGGCAGAGTGGTTCCTGTTAATGACTTTTTGGGACTTCGTTACTTGAATTTTTCGCTCTCATGCGTGGGAAAATGGAATCCAACGCAGACAGACCATCGCCCTTCCCGTGATGGACGTCAGAACAAAGGCGACGTCAGTAAGGCAAAACTTTTATTGGGTCGTCCGGGGAGTAATTGCGATTTTCGAAAACAATTTTTTGAACGCTTGTTTTGAGTTTGAACGCTTCTCGTTTGATTTAGATTGTACTATATAGTTGCACTTTTTTCGGACGAAAACAGCGAAGTTAGTTCCCATATGCAATTTTAGAATCAGTTTGAACACGAAGTGTCAGATGGAGCGTTCTTGGCGTATTTCATTTCTTTACTTCTACCTTGGCCAAAGAGTTACTGGTGTTCTTCTTGATACGGGTAAAATAAGGTATGAATGTCCTTTTGAGTGAATGTTTGTAGAGCGCATTAGAGCGTATAAGGACATTGGTTCACGAGCTCCAACTTTTCGTTCTAGCAGTTTTGTACTGCGAAGTGGGCTGCCCGGTAGATATGCATGACGAATTCTTGACGGCATTAGGCGAAGCCTGTTATTATGCAATCCATGAAGGAACTTACTGAGAAGAGAACGCATCCATGACAATATTTGACGAGACAATCGAAAAATTTGGATTACCAAAAAAATCCGAGTCTTCAAGTGCCACAGGGGTTGAGGGAGATGCACCTGACGCCTCGAAATATTGCCTACGATTTGCGTTCCAAACGCAGTGAAAACCAACCATTTATGAACCGAGTAGTGGCTGTTGATCAGAGTCAAAATATTTATAATAATGCTACTCACAAACGATTATGGTAGATATAAGATGGCCCAGCTCAATCAAGCTTCCGATATGATATTCATCAGAAGAAGGCTATGCCATCAATTTGGTGGAACTGCAAAGGTGGGATATAATTTGAAGTACATCTAATTGACCAAAATGTAACTTGGAATTTTGCTGACTAGACTTATATGAAGCAGTTGGTAAAGCTAAAGGTAATGATGTTATGCTGTGACGGGGCTGGATCGCACACATTTTTGGTGACTAAGCAAAAATCATCGAAACTGGCTGGAAATAAATGTTTTATCCGTCATATAGTCCTGATCTACTTATTCTGTTCATTGCAAAAGACCTACAATGGAGAACCTTCACCGAAGACGAAGGTGTCGGACCTTATCTTGTGTAGTTTTTAGGCCGAGAAACCTAATGTTTTGCGAGAAACGAGTTATAAAACTACCAGGAAGGCGATAAATAACGAACAAAACAAACTTACCAGTTGATTTCAGGACTTCCTCCTTCATTGTGAAGTTGTAGTAATAGTTGGCTAACTCTCCACCCCTTTGAAACAGATAATATTTTCCTGTACACGAAGTTTGACACAGGGCTAATAAAGCGGAGCAAATGGTATTCAGTGTAGGTCGGTGCTTACGCCTTCAATTGGAAGTCTCAATCTTTTGCTTTTTTTTNTTTTTTTTAAAATAAATACCGTAATTACATATGTTTCGAGTGGTGACAACACCATTATCAGATGCTATCAATAGACCTTTTTCTTGACAAAAGTATCATTAGTTGAGAATTCCAGAAATCTGGCGGTCGAGTATCAAGTTTTGTCGCAAATGAGCAAATAATATCGAACAAAGAGGATCCTTCATTAAGTCACAATCTTGCTGTGTTAATCTATCGTAACCTAATAGTAAGAAATGAGCAAAATTCTCATCTGCTAGTGGGTTCCTATCGCTGCACTTAGCAGTCACTTTTTCCATCCTATTCTACCATCCTCACTTGTTGAATGAAACATTCTGACCAGTCAAAGCTGAATCGTAATACCGAAGCGGTAGGATTTTGATCGATAAGTGGCTCTTCCTTTCTTGGACTTATCTTTCTTAGACCCCCGTCATATGCTACGCCACTTATTGGAAGCTACAAAATTTGAACTCTTCAGGTCCACGGAAACAGAAGTCACGAATTTTTTCCGAAACATTTACTCTGCACACGCTCCGCTCTCTGCAGGCCTCCCATAGGTGTTCCCATCCTGCCTCCTGTACTCCTACCAAATTTCAACGCTCTAGCTCACGTTAACAAGAGTTATGAATTTAAGACCTAAAACTTCTATCACACCGCACTGTAGGCAGAGTCCGGTCCTGCCACGCATCATAAGTGTTCTCATCCTGCTCCCTCCCCCTCGTATTCCTACTAAATCCAAACTCTCCAGGTCAACGGGGACAGGAGTTATGAATTGCCGGTCGTACACACACCGGCACACACACGCACACACACACACCGACGAACCGACACACTCAGCGAATTATATAAAGTAGGATGGTTTAAGTTGTTCAATAGACGGAGAAATCGTTCTGCGAAATCTAAAAAATCGTAGATACTTTCCGAACGACCTAATACCTGAATATGCTTGATCTCTATATTATAGAGCCCAGGTGACTCCTCAAGTCCATCGCAACCAAGAGGGCTCCTGGAATTGCGAATTATCAGGATAGTGCGGGACGACGGGTAAACTCTAATAGTATTCACTGTTCATTCCTATCCGTTCCGCGAGTGCTAATTTGCATTTCTTAAGCAGTCATCGTAAGGCTAATCATGAAGTTGAAATTGCTGCTGATCGAAGAAATAATACTCAGTGGAGCTTACTCGGTTCTACATAGAACTATTCCAGCCCGTCATCTCCTTAGCGCAATGCCAATGTGCGGGCTCACTGTCAGCGCAGATTGCTAGGGCTGAGATTGAGCAGCATTTGAAGTGAATTCTTAGTCTCAAAGTGGACTCATTGCCATAGTGAAGAGATTTGCAATACTTTATAGTGTAGTCATGAACTAGTGTAAAGCTCACTTGGTCCGTCTCAACTGGAGGGTACCGAAGCGATCGCATCGAAATACGTACGTAATCTTCCAAGTGGTACTTCGCGTGCTGCGTGTGGGAAGAGCTCTTACGGGGTCACGCGTGAATCGCATGCCCCCCAATACCTCTTCTGCCGCAGTTTTTCTCTAACCTCGAGAACGAGGGCAGTGGTAATGCCTCCTTCGCGGTTAGTCTAATGACAGCCTACTTGATCTATCTAATTTGCATCATAAGATTCTTGATACACACTCCCTATGCAAGATTCAAGGAAATGAAACCATATTGTTTCTGGAGTATAGGTAACCACGAATAGCCAGCTCCGGCGAGAGAGCTGGGTAGACCCCGAGTAGCTTGCCAAACAGTCCCGTAGTGCACAGGGTGCTTATTTTTTTAAGGTGAGCTTGAGTTGCTTCCCGGACTACTATCCAGCAACTCGAATGCAAGCGTTTGGCTTAGCGGATGATAGGATACCGACCACACGCGCAGGCTTTTCACGCACACATGTATAGATACCTGTGAAGGGACTTCTTGCGCTGATCAAACATAGTGAGTTAACATGTGAAACTTTCAGAACACGCAACTATCTTGTCCTGATATAATATGAGTTGTATGTATCTAAGGCAATGATACGGAAGAGAGTATCCATTTTTACGATTTTCCGTGAGAGCACGACTACAACCAAACGGATGCCTCGGAAAAGCATTCAGTCTCAAAGTAAAGCGAAATTTCGGTCCGCATATTCATGACTCCTGTTTAGGTGGACCTAGAGATTTGAAGCTCGGTAGTAGTGCAAGCGAGAGAATGGGAATACTTATGCACGTAGCAGGCCAGACTGCGCCTCCAAGAGCGGGGTTTGCGCAGAGTACATGTTTGAGCGGAAATTCG